ATAACATTTCTAAAGATGGGTTTTATTGTGGTTCAATGGGAAAACGAGAACAGCATGAGTGTCGTAAGTGAAAAGAAAGTCGCTGGCGCCGTGCAGTTAAAAGATGGAACAACAGTTGACATATCGACTTGTACGCACAAGGGTCGAGTGGCAATTTATAAAGCTACAATTTGAAAGTTTGTGGTAAGTAAAAATTGTGATATTCGTTACGTGATCAAAATCTTACCAATGAAGAGATATAACGGTTTGAATTAAGCTTAACGCTCGGCGCAACTGAAACTCGAATAATTCTGAGAATTGAAATGGTCACTTGAATGCCGCCATTTCTTAAGTTTACACGTTACAATGAAATAAATCTATCAGTAAGGTTTCAAGATTACCCTTAATTAGTCACGTTTTGGAACATTCTAGATTCATAATACAAACTGTGATTAACCAAACCTGGTTAAATAAAGAAGCCCTCCTTGATAAAAACAAAATAATGTGTTCAGCCCTTTTTTTAGTAAATTCTATGGAAGAGATGTGCTAACTCAATAAAAAAATCATTCAATATGGCAGAGATTTCCCAATCCCAGTGCACTTTGCTAAAGTAGGGTTCCAATGAATGCCCTTTTCCTTATAGCTATCTAAGGCCTTGTCTGAGCTCATTTATTTTTTCATGCCATGGAATCAAGATACAAAATGGAAAGGCATCTTGTAGACAACCTCATTCAAGGCCAACAGAGGAAGCTGCGAGCCCAGGAAAAAAGACAAACAGCAGCTAAGTCTGCTGTTTAGGATAACTTCATTCTAATTTATTGTTACAGTTACAATAAGATTTTAATTAAAAAATTCATTTTTTTAACTGTTATTAACCCCTTCACTCCCGAGAGTGCTGAGTCAAAATTGCGGAGAAGTCTTTGAATTTCAATGTGCAGAATCTGTAAAAATAAACAGTAAAACATGAAAGTGCTGGTTGACAGCTTACATTTGAGTGTTCAGGCAAAAGAGCTTTTTCCAAAGAAGTTACAACCACATAAAATCAAGTCAATGATTGACTCTGGGAGCAAAAGGGTTAAATACCATTTGTATCATTATCTAAAATTAAATGATTCATTTAAAGACTATTTTTTGACTGATAGTATTTATTGCAGTAAATTTAATTCAAGTTATTGTATTTTATGGAAAAGGATCAACAGATTTTATTCACAATTTGTCACACCAAATTTAATGATTGATTAGGAATATTTTTTAAGAACAGCTGTAATTGAGGATAATTCTTATGAAGTTTTCAAGAAAAGAAAAAGAAATCGAATTCCATCCTAATATTACTACATGTTGATGTTGATATACAATCAAAAATATTTCGCATGTAAACCTGAGTTAAATAAATGACCTGAGTTTCATAAATTTCATTGAATACTTTAATTTTTACTTGGGATTTTTAAATTTTCAGTATTTATTTCATGTTAGTTGCCTCAATTTTTGTTTAAAATTCCCAGTAATTCTTAAACATTCCAAGAAATTCTAAGGAATTTCTGGCAAGTTTTTAGATTTACAGCCTTTTTAGGGAAAGTGGTTGGTGCTCTGAGTTGGAATTCCTAAGAATTCCTAGGAATTCAAAGTCCTGTTGGCTAATAACTTGGAACTTCTGGGAATTTCTAGGTTTTTAGAACCAGCGTTACTACAGTTGGAAATTTCCATTTGAAATTTACCATGAAAAGTCACACCTCTTATTCCTAGGAATTACATTTTTTCCTAGGAATTGCTTATACATGAGGCTCTATTTTAAACCTATTTTATGTCTATGTCTATCTATATCTATCTATGTCTCTTAGACCTATTTTATAGGTGTTATATTCCTATTTTTTTCCCATTTTATATATATTTTAAACCTATTTTAAATGTATTTATATCCTATTTTTTCCCTATTTTTTGTGTATTTTTTTCTATTTTATCCCTGTTTTATTTCTATTTTATTTTATAACTAATGTTTCATTAATGCTATTTTAATCCTATTTTATCATCAAATCACCTCTACATTTTCCCTATTTTAAAGCTATTTTTACGACTATTTTTTTTACTATTTTTTGTTTCAAAATAAAAGGTTTAAAATAGTTAAAAAATGGTCTAGAAAAAATAGAGGAAAAATACACAAAAAATAGGGAAAAAATAGTTTAAAAAATAGATGTAAAAAAGATATAAAATAGGCGCTATTTTTGTAAGGGAGGATCTTAAATTAAGAGGCTCAAAAAATACTACTGGCTAGAAGTACAGCTTGCATATTTTTAAAATTGCCTTTGCATAATTTTTATTACAGTTTTCTTTGAATCTTGCTTTTTGGCATTCCATTTAGTCTCACACTACAATAGAATCACTTTTTGATCAATATCTTGGTTGTTGGTCGTGTACCTTTAGCCGGTACAGAATTTATACAATTGTATAAATGAGATTAAACTATGCCTGTGTTATTTATTGTACTTTTAAATAAAATTTGCTATTATTAAAAAGAAATCAAACCTTTCTCATTTGGAAACCAGCCAGAAACCCTTTGCTTATTTCCAAATAATGCCTGCTCTAGTTTCAGCTGATTCCCCATAAAGAGTCATTTCATGCTTGTAGCTTGTGTGTTGTGCTATCAAATAAGCAATACCAGGTACACAACTAAGAAAAAGAAGATATTCTTGATGAAAAAAAAGACTCCAATGTAGTGTAAGACTAAAACAGAATGCCTAAAGTAAAATGCAAAGCAGACTGTAAAAAAAATTGGTCAATTAAATATGCAAGCTGCACTTCAAGTATTTTCTAAGCGTCCTAAGATCCTACTAGCTAGAGGTTATAGACTAGAATGCAAGACTAATTTGGATTGCAGAAGTAAAATGAGCAAACCTCATTAAAAATTGGGCAAAGTTGACTTAATATGCTAGCTGCACCTCTGGTTGGTAGTCGTTTCTAATCCTCCTGAGATCCTACCAGCTAGAGGTATAAGACCAAATAAAGAAAAAAAAATTCAAATTTATTCTTAAAAAAATGATTCCAAAGAGTGTAAGGCTACAACTTGGAGTGCACAAAAATAAAATGTGGAGCAAGCCATAATAAAAATTGGGCAAAGTCCACTAAGTACTCAAGCTGTACCTTTAGCCGGTAGTATATTCTAACCCCCTTGAGATCCTACCAGTTGGAGGCACAAGACCAAATAAAAATAAATAAAGTCGTACTATTGTTGAAAAAAGTGATTCAAAGGGGTCTAAGACTAATTTGGAGAGCAGAAAAGGTAAAATGCGAAGCAGACCGTAGTAACAATTGGGCAAAGTTGATTAAGTATGCAAGCTGTACCTCTAGCCGGTAGTATTTGCTAAGCCCCCGGAGATCCTTCCGGCCAGAGGTACAAGACAATAGAAATTTCATCCTGGGGATCTCTCCAACCAGTAGCACTATGACAAGGGCATTATAGTGGTGATACTATTCATAAGTTTTGTTTACCTTTGTAAGCGTAAATCTTAGCGGCTACAGTGTTAAACTCTACTGAACAAGAAACTTAAGATCGACGAGGGTGAAGGAAAGAGCTTGATTTAAACTCAACAATGTATTTTTCACATGTAAAGCATGTTATAATGTTCATATCTGGTTCAATCACGTCGCTCGATTGTTGGTAAATCGCAATTAGTGTTACTGGAATAGTCCGCCATATTGCAATAGCCGACAGTTTTCATTAATCACCCGACTCGGAAACTCGTTCAGGGAAGGGAGTTGTTTATGACATGTGCAGATGACATTATTGACCAAAGTAAAATAACACCTGAAACCGAGTAACACTGTTACGCAATGAAAACTAACTTCACAATGCGTTTTTCGGTCTCATGAAAAAAGAAATCGTTTCAAAAAAACTCTAACAGGATTCCTCTAACGTTCACATACGCAATAATTATATTTTTTCTTCTGAAGCGGCAGACGAGTTGTCGTTAAAGTTCCTTTTAAACAACATCGCGTGATTCATTTCATATCACCTCTCGCTACAGGTCATGCATCTTAAGACTGTAACAAGACACGCACGACAGATTTCACTTGATGTTCTCTCTATTTTGTATCTTTCCTCTGGTAAAGGAAGATAATGTTTCCCTGTAGTACTTACATAATCCTTTGTGTTTATTTTTATTCAGTATATTTGAGCGTATAAGCGTTAGATAGCGTTTTTCTCCAAAAACTCCGAGTGTTACGTTCGTCTTGTATTTGCAAATTTTTAAGGGAAATAATCCACCCCTCCCCCCCC